TTCTCTGGCACTCCAAGGAAGCACTAAAATGTTAAAGATGTGATGATGATCGCGATGATCATTATTCTATCCGTATTTAAAAACATCTCAAAGCCATTTACAGAAAATTAAAAACATTAACATGTATCATGATATGTATTAAAATACAAATAAAATACATAATAATTCCTCAAACATTTATGCAAAACATTAATAGAACATTAACACCAGTTTAAACGCACATATGATTGCAAACAAACAGCCTGGGCAGCACACTCAGCCATGGCAAATCTGAATAAACGATGGGTCTTGAATCGGGTTGGGGTTACAGTGTTGACAGCATGCCACAGTTGTTGCCTCCTGAATGCCAAGGGGAGGCGATTCTATAAAATGGGGAACCATGGAGAAGTCCCGTTTCCAGGTTGCCGCGAGGCAGCAATCTGCAGGCTGTGGTACAGGCCCACTCCAGTGCTCTTAATGATCACAGAGGCCTGTATTAGGAAGGCAGTCTGCCAGGTAAAGCTGTTCAGGGTTTTTATGTCAACAGCAGGACCATGTACATGGTTCAGCTGCTAATAGGTAGCCAGTGGCACATGCTATGTATTGCAGAGGACAGAAGAGTGAAGGGTCTGTTCACCCTCAGTGACATCACAGGAATTGCTCAATGTGGCATCCGTGAAGCTCTTCTACTGACAGTTTAAGCTGCACAAATTACTGCAGTAAACATGCTAACTTGTTGGGGAAATAAATATTGGGGAAATAAAATTTCCTTGGTAAAGAGAATAACTTTATTGAAGGAAATCTTTTGGTTTTCTGGCAACAAATGAGTAACAATCATGCACTGATGGTGCAAAAAACCTGATTGTGTGGGAGCTCCCTAAACAAGTTTTTGGGGGGTTATATGGGGGGGAGTGTGCGCAAGAGAGAGATGGAGGGAGGGGGAGAGAGATTGCGTTTATCTTTCCATCTAACCAGAGAAGAGTAAAGAGGAAGTCAGAATATCCGTGAAAAAAAATGGCAGTGCTGGGGAACAGCTGATGCCTTCAATAAAGTTGGATAAATATCATATTTATTTATACATCTACAGCCTCTTTCACATATATTTTGTATTTCTTGTCTGTTCTTTATTGAATTAAGAGCATCTGACTGTAAACAAGGATATGGTTACTTAATGATTCACTTTTCCCTGTTATGCTCTACCATGTAGCTCATGATTTCAGGGGTTTCTCCATGCCTCACATAAAGTAAAGTATTAAACTATAACAGTATCAGCTTTCAGGAGTTTCTGAATGTCAAACCTCAGATAAACTCTTGAAAGGGCTTATAAGCTGCAAAGATCACAGAATCATAGGATAACTACACCTAAACTAATTAAATATCATGAATAATTCTAGTTACTATCTAAATCAAGATTTTACCATTAGTTTTGTTGGCTAGGGTTTGGAAAGCTAATCTAATTTGAATATTTCTGTGGGCATTAGTAGTTTTTAAAGGGAAATAATAATTCTTTCTTTGTGATTATAGGCACTAGTTCTACTGCTAAGAAAGTCATGGATATTTGGTAGCTGATCAGCTATTGAGGGGGAAAGGGCAACTCTCTCAAACAGTCCTTCTGAACAGGTAATGACATTTGTTTAAAGGTCTGTCGACTGAATTCTAGCTATCAGTTTAGGAAAAAGAACCTTGCACACAGTTCTATGGTGCACAAACGCTACCTAGGGATGTATTTGTCTCTGGATGTGGGACCACTGGGCAGTATTGTAAAAGTGCAATTACTAATGTAAATTTCATTGTATTAGCATGGACTATTGTAGCGCAATGTCCATATCATTAGCACAGTAATTTTTCAGGAAAACTAACACACAAGCTAATGAAATTGGTGAAGGGCTAGTGTATGCTTCCTCACTCTATCTTATGTTCAGGATTGCACCCCTTTGGGTACAGTCCCTTACAATTTTTTTTCAGTTGACTGTTCAACCTGTCTAACTTTTGTGCTATATTTTGATATTAAAAAATTGTTAATGCAAATGCTTGTTGGATTAACTGCTAACCCTGGTAGGTAGGTAGGTAGGTACAGAGAGAGAACCAATGAGATATGAACCTGCTTACCGAAGGTCAAACACTTCAGCAAGCTGGGAGCTGCACAAGAAGTTGGGCCAGCGAGCTGTCTATTTTACCCAGACTTTTATCCAATATTGTACTTGGTTTTTCCCTTCCCCAGATGAACTGGGTTCCTTTCTACCACACCAGCCATCACCACCTGAGCTGGTACCTCTGAACACTGAGAGTACTCCTACTGTGTCAGAAAGAACATGGTGTGTGGCTGATACAGGCACTTCCATAGACAGACTCCTTGAGTGCATCTTGGGAAAGGCTGCACTCCCAGGATTTTTTAACATCAGTGCCTAATGCATATGGATAATTTGTGAAGCACTGTGGCACCTACAAACCCCCTATGAACTGGAAAATTCTGAAAGATACTGGGCTAGATGATTTTTCAAATGCTTTCCAAACCCATGCCTTTCAACTTTCATCTCAAGCGTGTGGGAAATGAAATCTTTGGTTTTCTATTTAAATTGATGAGAATCAATGGACTCGGTAATCAAAAGGATTGCCTTACTGACCACATGCACAGCAACTCATTGTGAAGTCATAAAGGACTATGATTCTATGCTGAAGCCCTTACTCAGGAAAAATTCCCATTAACTTTAGTGAGAGATTTAGTTCCCTATCAGCAGCTACTGAAATATGCTACATGAGCAGAATTGCTCCTAGACAGTAATTTTGGGGAAAGTTTTCTGTGAGCTGTCAGCTAGTTACTGAATGCTGAAGTTCTCTTCAGCTGTAGGATGCCATATTTCCTTTGGTATTTCAAGCAGTTTCAAATCCAAGGTCTGAAACTTGACACCAGCACCAAGCCTAAACACATCTGGTTGATTTGAGGCTACAAATAGCCCTGGAATGCCTTTGACACCTTCCATAACTGCCATACTTTAAAGCTTCATTCCAAAATAGAGCCAAGAAAAAATGCTTGTCAGCATGATGGGACCAGACAAAATTCAGCAATGCATGATGCAGTGACAACCTAGGTAGACATTCATAACACCTTGTGCATATATTAAGATTTCTAAATGCACTCTACTAGACAACAGCAACACTTTTCAAAGAAATAAAAAGAATGTACTGAAGATAATGTAACTGAGATTAAGATTGTAATACTGTAGGTGTTGTAATAGACTAGCTAGAATGCCTGAACTTAAAGTGCCATTTTTAAAAATTCTCATCTGCTTGTGAGCCTCCTTTCCTCCGAGCAAGTAACTAACAGTTGCTTTCACCACCAGTTATCCTATGAGAAGCTCAGTCCCACAGCCACTTATCTCAAATTATGACTATCCTGTTTAGGAATATTCCTCCTAGAATGTTCCACTCTTCCCTGTCCCATGCTCAAACATGTCATCCCTCCTTTGTTCAATTCTTGCTCTCTGCACACTGAATCACAGTGTGGCCTGTTTTTAGTCCTACTGTTTCTTTCTCTCCTGGTTCTCCTTTAGGGCCTAACTTTAATGGTCATGACAAGATCTGGGTACACAATCACAATCACACTTCAACATGTCCATAGATTATACGTGATAACTTTATAGGGACCCACGTATATGGTATAGTGGTTAAGAGTGTTGGAATGGAACTGAGGAGATTTGGGTTCTAGTCCTGACTTGGCCATGTAGTTTACTTTAGGCCAGGCATGGACTCTCAACCTAGCCTAGCTCACAGAGTTGTGATGAGGATAAAATGGAGAGGTGAACCTTGCAAGCTGCCTTGGGTTCCATACAAGACAAAGAACGGGAGGATATAAATTAATGTAATCACAATAACAATAATCATGCACAAGCCCCAGTGCACATAGTTGTACAAGCTGAACCATGTATGTAATAGAATAATTTTCAGCTGTGTGTGCTGTGGGGATGGGGTTGGCAGGCACGGTCACAATCCTTCTCCGTGCATATCTAAGAATGTCTCCACAGGCTTTGGACTATTGGCAGCCATGGCATGGGGGGCAGGACAGCCTTTGCTGAATCCAGCAGTCTCTGTCCATGGCCAAGCAGTCATCACATTTATTGGCGTGTTACTGGAATATGCAAGCTTTGGCACTGGCGTGTGCAAACAAACCACACTAAACATGAGTGAGTGGTGGCAACCCAAAACCAAATCTGAGTTATGTCCAGTGTATGCTGGCAGTTTTAAACTATTGTCTCAACCCAGGGGATGGCATATCTGCCTCCAAGCCAGCACAGCCACTGACTTTTTGCCACAGCTGCTATGAGCTGATCATGATTAAGAAATCCTATGTTACTGTGCAGAACGGGGAGAAGAGAGCCCATGAAGCATTAAATGTGGTTTCTATCTTGAATATCAGGGCCAAATCTATTTCTGAAAGGTCTGTATTTTTGAACTGCCCTCCAACCCGTGCTTGGATGGCTAGTAAGACTCTAAAGAGCTCACTTCTAAGCCACAGTTTGGCTAAGCCAGTGATACCATTTGAACAGTGATCAGGCAAGAAGC